CACATTGTTTTTAGGCTTAAATATCTTTTATTTATTTTTTTAATAGTCACCATTTCTCATGGCAGCATAATAAGCAGTCTTAGAATTTTCTGAAGTTTGTTCTAAAACTGTTTATCCACTTTTGCATTCTAGACATATTTAATGACTACTCCTTTTAAAGTTTAAGCATCTGAACAAAGTTGAGAAATAGTTCCTGATGGAACAATTTTCTCACCCCGGTTCCCTTTGTTGTTTTACATCTTGGTCCTCACCCTATCAAAGGCATGTCTGCTATTTGTTGAAAGATCCCTTGGGGTTTATAGAGGACAGGAAGCAGTGAACGGTTCCTCCTTCCTGTTTTCTCCTTTTATTTTCTACCACCTTGTAATAGGGAGTAGTAGAAAATGACTGCTTTGCAAGGCAGTGAATTACCTGTGGATCTTGTTAAGTGTGGATTGTGGTTCACTGAGACTGGGCTGAGATTCTGCATTTTGAACAAGTTCCCAGTAAAGCAGATGCTGCTGGTCTACAGACTGAAACTATAAGTAGCAAGGCTCAATGGTACCAGGCAGTGGGCGTGATACAGTAGTCAGAACTACAAGATTGAGAGGTCGTGCATTAGGAAAACCAGGAGTTGAACCTGAGGACTGACACATTTGTTGTTGAAGTTATTTTATAGCTCAATCTCAGTTTCCTGGGCTAGCTGTCTTAAAAATTAATTCAGTATGCATATAATTGGCTTAGAGTAATGCCTGCAACAAAGTATTTGCTAAATTTAGCTATTGTTAGTGATAATATGATTTTGTTACTATTACTGTTATTGTAGTAGAATCTGAAAAGTATTATTGTTGCATAAACATTGACCATGGTAGAATATCTTAAAGCTCCAAATGCAGATTTATAAGGTTCTTTTATGTGTGTGCTGCACTTTGCACATAAAGAAGTCTATCCATTATCAACTGGGCATGGTCTTTTGAATAAAAATGACTTTTAAACTGTCCTTTGTCTTCCAGGCCCTATTATGATCAATGACACAAATTTATGACTGTTCGTATGAATTTCATTTGCCAGCCTAAATTTAATAGGCTAAATTCTAGTTATTAGCCCAGAGAAGCCAACAGATCCCATAGCTATGACCTCCATGTTAATAGCCTAATACTACTAACAAAAATGATGAGCCACTGATTTTGCAAGTGTCGCAGTCTTTTTATGTGCTATAAGGCTGTCCTTTAAAAAAAAAAAAAATCCTATACCAGTGAAAATTTTGGGAGGGGGAGGGTACCAAGAATTGAACCCAGGGGCACTTAACCACTGAGCCACATCCTCAGCCTTTTTAATATTTTATTTAGAAACAGCATCTCCCTGAGTTGCTTTAGGACCTCACTAATTGCTCAGACTGGCTGTGAACTCAAAATCTTCCTGCCTCAGCCTCCTGAGCCTCTGGGATTGCTGGCATGTGCCCCTGCACTCAGCAGCAATGAAATTTTGATTATTATTGCATATCAAGTACCTCTAAGTGCTATCTATCACTTTCTTTTCATCTGATCAAAGCTGGTTTTATATAATATTACCTGGAGAAATGTAGATGACAGAGAAGCAGACACAGCCTAGACACCCTTATCTATCCATCCTCTGTCCTGTTAGAGAAGGAACCTCCAAGTGTGAACCCTAACATGCTGTAGAGTTTTAGGTTTGACGCAATGTTGGGAAGTTTGCCTTTTGACTTTAGGCCTTCACTGGGTAAGACAGGATGATTTTAGGGCCAAAATTAATGCTTGACTCCATTTTAGTTCCGTGATTCCTGCCCAATCTGGAATAGACTGGGAAATTGGAAGGAAGGATCAGAGGTTTCCTTAGTTTAATCTAGAGATAATTTCAGTGAAGTAAAGTTTAGCCAGGTATATACCTGTACCCATAAGATTTATCCAGATCTTGGTCAAGGTTCTGGAGGTTTATAGTCTAATAAAATAAATTTAAAACTTCAAGGTAAAGCTGAGAATCGAGTTTCTCAGCCACACTTGAGGTGTGTATTAGGAACATGTGGCTAGTTACTGCAGGATTGGACAGTGCAGATTACAGAAAATTTTTATTATCAGAAAACCTTCTGTTATATGACGCTCTCCTAAACTTAAAGAACTGCATAAAGAAAGCATATATACACACAGTGGAATATCACTCAGCCATAAAGAAGAATGACTTTACAGCATTTGCCATAAATGGGTGAATCTGGAGATTATCAAGTTAAATGAAATAAGCCAATCCCCAAAAACTAACGAATGTTTTCTCTGATATGTGGAAGCTAACCTACAACAAGGGAGAGGTTTAGAAATTAACTGAATTTGACAAAGGGGAATGAAGGGAAGGTAGAAGATGGGAAAAGGAAAGACAATGAAATGAATCTGACATACTTTCCTATGTACATATATGAATATACCACAGTGAATCTTACCATGTACACACCCATAAGAAATTAATTTTTAAAATATATGTAAATGGCAGAAAGAAGGAACTTCACGGGTGGGGAGAGGGAAGGGGAAGAAGAGGTACTGGGATCTGAATTGAAACGAGATATATTTCATGCTTGTATAATAATGTCAAAATGGATTCTATTGCCAATAAAAAAAAAATGATTCTGAAGCCACATTGAAGGCAGCCCTGAATTGCAGAAGGAAGGCAGAGCTGGTGTGAGAGCTGGTGTATGTGGTAGTATCTTCTCTAGACAGACCATAGGGCTAAGAATAGAGAGGTGGGTTGTTAACCACTTAGTACAGAAAGGGGGGGGGGTTGTATTGATTTTTTTTTTAAAGCATAAATAATATATAGAGGGCTGGGGATGTGGCTCAAACGGTAGTGTGCTCGTTGCCTCCAGGGTCCAGGAAGAAAAACGATATACTTCAAAGGAAAACTGGGGACTAGGGAAGAGGTACTACTGTGATTTGTGACTATCTTCTTGTCCTTTAGTCACCCTGTGCCTTGCTTCTGCACCTGATACCTGCAGAAAGCAGGTCAGAATGCCAAGGGATTGGCTGAGGAGGCTTCTTCTAAAGCCTGGTCTACTCTAGAGGGTGCAGCAGCCAGAGGGTCCCACACCCAGCCTCCACAGATGCTCCTGACCTGCAGAGAACAGCTTTCTGTCCAGGAAAATTATTTTGAGTTTTTGGTGTGAAGACACAGTCCTGGACTTGTTTCACTTACCAACTTCTCTAGCTAGGAACGAAGCACTGTGCTGTTACTAAAAATGACTTTTCTTCAGAATTTTCAGGTCATTAACAAAATCTAGAATTCTTTTCATTTGTAAATGTCAAAATTATTACTTAGGACATTTTATAGGAGTACATTTTGCTTGGAATTTAAATCTAGATCATTCTTCTCTGAGTTTCTGTCAAAACCCCTGCAGCATCCTCCACTAATCTGACTTTGAAATGCTTTTCACAACCAACCTTTCTTCTCTGATTCCACTACCACTGCCCAGGTTTTAAGCTTATCTCCTCACATATGAATTTGTCATAATAACTAAAAAGAATGTTCTCAGGCTGGGGTTGTGCCTCAGTGGGAGAGCACTTGCCTAGCATGTGTGAGACACTAGGTTCGATTCCCAGCACCACCTTAAAAATAAGTAAGAATGTTCTGGATTATAAAAGCAATAAATGCCCACTATAGAAAATTTGGATAATATAGGTAAATTATGAGAAAGAAAATAAGTTACTAATATGAGATAAATGCTGTGTATTCTGAGTTTTTATTTCCAGTCTTTTTAGAAGTGTGTATCCTTGTGTGTGTGTTTATGATTAAGGAAGTTTGCACCTATGGTATACAGTTTTGTGTTGTGGTTTTTACTATCACAATTTTTTTTGAGTTATCAGCATGTTCCTGTATAATTATTTTTCAAAAAATGTTAATGAATAAATAATACCCTTTTACATGGAAAGAGAAAACCTATTTGACAATATTGTTGGCTATTTAGATCTCCTTTTCAACATTAAAAGTTTTGCCATATCTGTTCACTGTGGTGAGTAAGAACACAGGCCTGGAGCTCCAAAGACCATACCATGCTCAGATTCTGCTCCTCACACCCATTCTCAGGTCTCATGCAATCCTAAACCTCAGTTTTCTTCCGTGTAAAATGAGAGTTATAATAGTACTTTTTACCACACTTGAGTTGATTTATGAGATATGTGTGATGTATTCATTTACGCAGAAGTTGACTCATAGTAAATTCTAATATTGATTGCTTTTTTAACACTCACTGTCATTAATCATCAGCATTTTTTTCTTATAACTCCTAAGAGCTAGATTATGGTGTCCAAGTATACACGTATTGTACTTTAGTAATATATTGCAAAATTGATTCCTAGAAAAATTCTAGCAATTTATAATTACACAATACCTGATTTCACCCTTTGTCATTATTGTGTATGTCTTTTTTATTACTGTTTAGCAATGTGACACACAAAAATTGTACTTTTAACTTACTGTATCTTTCTAATTTGTATTTTTTTTGTATGATTTACATTTAGCAATGCAAATTAGTTTTAAAATGTTTAATTGGCCAATCACTTATGCAAATTATGTTTTCACAAATTATTTATGGAAGTCAATGCCCATTTTTATTGACACTTCAATTTTTTATAAATCACTGAGTTCTTTGTTTATTATGATAATAATCATTATTTATAAATAAAGTCTGTTAAGCATTTGCAACTTTCAGATGAGGAAACAAGGGCCAGAGTAAATAAATGCCCAGTCATCCTTGTTGTTTTTATTACTTAGCTTAGTTTTTTGCAGCACCTAGCACAGACCAGTGTCTTGCACATAGTAGGAGCAGAATAAGCCCATGTGCACTTATAAGGGCAGTCGCCATCCTTGCCTTTGTTCTTTGAGCACAGAAGCCACCTTCTCCTGTGTGCCTTTGTCACAGCCACTGCTTCAGCTCAGATGAATCAGCATCTCTTAGACTTGATTGTTCTGATGTATTTTTCATGACACTTTTAATCAGGTTATTTTCTTCACTTCATTTCTAGGTAACAAACCTGAATTTGGCAAGTGGTGTCATAAACAGAAGCAGTGCTTCAACTCCCCCCAGCCTCCGACCTGTCCTCAGTCCTACTGGTCCAACATGGTCCATACAGTCAGACCCCCACGCTACAGAGAACCACTCCAGTCCTCCTGGAAGCAGGTACGTGAAGGACCCTGGAGGTAGCGTTGAGTTGCATGGGAGGGGCTGTGTCCCAAGCAATCAGGCCCTTCCCACTCTGAGCTCTAGTAAGGTGGATGCTCATTTTATTTGTAAGACAACTTTCAAGAAAATCAAATGGAAAGGAAATTTCTGATGCAGTTAAGAAAATCACTTCTGGATGGATGCTATAGTTAATCCTTACTTCCAGTCAACATCTTCATGTTCTGAATTTTGGCATTTTATCCTTGCCTCCTGGAATTTTCTGTTTGTTTTTATGATACTGGGGATTGAACACAGAGACTCTCTGTCACTGAGCCACATCTCCATTGTGTTTCAGTGACTTTGAACTCTTTTTTTTTTTCCCCCTTTGGAGGACATATTTGTTTTTTATGTTTTCATATAGGTTATATAATTAAACTCAAAACAGGTTCTTGATCCCATTTGGGAGGTGGGAAGGAAATAGTCTGTTATGTAGAGAGAAGTAGCAATTTGTGAAATACAAATAGATTCTGGCCATAAGACAAACAACTTCTGAATTAAAAAAAAATCACTGTATTAAATTCTGGTCTCATTCTAATATTTTAAGTATTCCTGTATAAAAAAAAAATCTAAGAAATGAGTTCTCACTGCATCTTCCTTTAGTGGATTAAATTGCATCAGTCCCTGAGTCTAATGAGCTGGAGAGAAATGTGACCAGTGATGTCTCTGGCCATGGAGATTTTGTTCCCTCCAAATAAAAAAGCTCTACCCCAGGTGTCCAAGTGAGTCCTCACCCTGTGCCGGCCTCTCTCTCTTCTTTGCTGCTTTGCTCTGAGCTTAGGAGTGGGGGGACCAAAGACCTAGGCATGGAGGAAATACTTGATTATTATTCAAATATCACTTGGTATCAGAATTAACTTCTTAAGGAGCTGATTTGGGACCAGAAACTCTGCCTGGGAAGCAGCATAAACACAAGCACATTGTATCTCACCCTGGGACGATGGCTCTCAGAGCCACCGTCATTGTGGTCAATGTGCAAAGAGCCATCTCAGTTGAGAATTTTCATGCAGAGTTGGAGACCAAGGGGCACAACTGTTTGGGACTTTCTCTATACAGTTCTTTTCACAAGAGAATTCTTATTTGGTGATTTATAATCTTCTGAGTAACCACATTCCTTGAAATACAAGTTATAAAAAAGTTATATTTATTCCATAGAGTTTTATTTTCTATATAAATGTTTCCAAATATTCCATTTTCCTGTGAAACTCAGAGCCTGTTCCTATGGAGAACACTTTCATTACAATCTTGAATATTCTGTTTGACAAGGCTATAAGGCATTTTCCATACTGTAAATAGAACGTCAAAAGTCCACATTTTGGAGAAGAAGAGTTTTAACACTTTTTATACTTGTAGATAGAATGAGGGGATAACAAAAATTATGGCTGGGTGGAGAGCTTTCTTGGAAGCACCTGCTTTTGGTGAGATGCAGTATGGTGGGATCTGTGGAGGTCGGCTGGGACCTACAGCAGCACCAGGAGTGACTTTCTCCCAGCCAGAGTGCTCCCTGGGCTGCGGTGGAGTGGCGCACTATCCGGTTTACATCAGAACCGTTGCAGCTAAAACGCAACCCCAAGAAATCCCTTGGTGCTTCCTTTTTGACTTAGTTGTACCCACAACAGCCCTTTCTTTGCCTCCAGCCAGTGATGAGGTCCCTGTCGGGTTCCCCATAGCCCTGGGGAATCTTCCACTGCCCCCAGGTGACCTCTGCTTGCCAGGACAGCTGGAGGCTCAGCTTGGGAGTTTTAGTTCCAACAGCCCCAAGTGAGTCCTTAGTCCTTCCAGAGCTCGAGGGGCTGCGGGCCCTGGCCAGGGACACCACACAGGGCTCCTTCTGATTTCCATTCTTACCTGGTAAGTCCCTCTTTTGTGGATATTTATTTAGTCTCTTATTGTTCTCCTTTGTAGTGAGGGTGACTAAGTTTGGTGAATATGGGACTCACAGCTTAGAGATGTGAGTTTTATTACTGGTTTTGACACTAAGTGACCCTAAGCTATTCATTGAATCTTTTTATTGGGTAGGCATACTTACATGTAAACTGGCCTATTTTGAGAGCTTTTAGATCACTCTTAAAGCACTTTGATCTCCCTGAAATGGGGGCTAGGTAAATAAAAGGTACTCTTACTAGTTTTTCTACAAATGCAGCAGTGAATTCCAGTGCTGATAAACTCTGCTAACTCACTCAACTCCAGGCTGCCTGTGAAGTGTAATGCAAAGTTTCGAGAAGCCCGCTGCTGGCTGTACTTTTCATCTCTCCGTCTCGGAGAATTCAGTGACTTGGTAGCCACAGGAATGAAAACTGGTGACTCACGAGAACTCTGCAAATAGTGTTATTTTTCATTTCCCCATGGTGTTGCCATTGTTCTCAATTTTATGGATCACACAAGTTTTCACCAGACAAACCTTGTTCTTCCCCCGCTGTTGGAAACCACCCCAAATGTAGCCTCAGGGCTGTCGTCTCCCATTGGGTCAGTGTGAGCTCAACCCAGCTCCTCAAATCCCCTGGTTCCTTTGGTCTGTCTGGAGTCCCTGTTCAGGCTTTGTTGTGGGAGAGGAAGGCAAAGAGCCCACAACTTGCCCAGACAGTCTGAGGCCTGGCCACGCAGCCTGCAGTTCCCTAGACACTCGGGAGTTGGGCTTGGCCAGCCATTCCTCTGTTGTTACTTTCAGAGGTAATAAGTGAGATTAATTGCAGGCCATTCTCCAGAAGAGAGAGGAGTTAGGGCCAAATGCAGTCACATGCTTAGAAGCCTGAGGTGTGCCTCCAAGCAAGGCCAGCTTAGAATTATTCAGCAGGGACTCCAGGATGCAGGTACCACACGTTTATGACCTCTTTTTTTCTTTAAGCCATGTTTCCGGTCTCTGGATTCTGATACCTGGGTATTTCAGCTTTTCTTTAGCCAATGAGAAAAGTTGGATTCTTCGAGCTGCCTTTTAATTATCCGTTTTCTGGGCACATGGGGAGTCATTAGGAGCTGAGAACTGAGGTGCGCGGCATCCCCTCATTCCTGCCAGCCTCCCATGGAATGGGGCCTCGCCAGGGAGGAGAGTTTTCTAGGTGAGGAGCCCTCCGTGGGTTCAGAGTGCATTTTTCTTTGTGAGACCTGGAAGGGTTACTGTGAAGTCTTGGCTGCTGCTTGGAATGATTTGGGAAGGACAGGGCCTCAGACAGCTTGGCAGGAACCTGAGGCCCTGCTTTTTCCAGCCCAGCCCTTCCTTGTGGATGGAGCTGTCAGGGAATCCCACGAACGTCTGGCTTCGGCCCCTTTGTATGTTCTTCAGCATTTGTCACTGGGTTATTTTTATCCATCTCTGGCTTTTTCACACACACATCCTGGGGATTTGTCTGTTCCTCGATATTAAAGGTGGGGGAAGTTGACAAAAGAGCGCAGCCACAAGTTGGTTCCTGCTTTTTGTCATAGGGCAGGGCTCTGTGGGCATGGCTGCCAGCCTGGCCAGCTCCCACTCTCCAGTGAACATCTGTGTGTCAGAATTTTGAATTCTATGGAAGAATGGGAAATCTTGGAGATTCGGGGCCCTTTTCGATGTTACCCTGTCCTTCTACTCTTTAGTAGTTGATCAAAGAGTTTGCTGTCCTGCCATACCTAATTTTTAGGAAGATATTTTTCAGAGCTTCTGATTCCAGTTGAGCTAATACTCTTCTCCCTTCCTTTAGATTATTTCTTACAAATGTTGCTGGAGATTCAAGTCTCTGACTTCTCAGAGTCAGTTCTCAAAAACAACGGGTTTGTTAATTTCTTTCTTTCTTTTTTTTTTTTTTTTTGTAGTTGTAGATGGACAGAATGCCTTTATTTTATTTGTATATGGTGCTAAGGATCAAACCCATTGCCTCACGTCTGTTAGGCAAGTGCTCTGTCCCTGAGCTACAGCCCCAGCCTGTAATTTCTTTTAAAAATATGCCCTATGGGGCTGAGGTCGTGGCTCAGTGGTAGCGTGCTCACCTAGCATGCATGAGACACTGGATTCTATCCTCAGCACCACATAAAAATAAAGACAATAAAGTCCATCAACAACTTAAAAAAAATGTGTCCTATGCATTTTCTGTATATCAGGCATTGTTTGCTGCTGGGGAATAGCGATAAATAGCAGAGCATTTCCTGATCTCACAGAATTTCCATGTTCTCAATGCAAGGTTGGGTGCTAGGTAGGATCCATGGTATACATGAAGCAATTAAAGAACAGTGTCTGACAGCAGGTAACAAAGACCTCAATTTCATTGCACAATTAGAAGAAAGATTGTCAGGAAGAGCATGTAGGAATTCAGTCCTTCGCCGTGATGGGCTACAACTGGGTTGTACACGAAGTGAAATGAGCCATTCACAAGAGGACAAATAACATATGAGTCTTCTCATGTGAGGTACCTAAAGTGGTCAAGAGCACAGAAACAACACAGGAAGGTGGTTGCCAAGGACTGGGGGGAGTGAGGAGGGGGACTTCTTGTTTAATGAGTATAGGGTTTCAGTTTTGCACAACGAAAATGTTCTAGAGATCTGTCATAGAATAATATGAATGTACTCCTGGACTGTACACATAAAAATGATTAGGTAGTAAATATAAATTATGTGCTTTTTACTACAGAAAAAGAAGGTAAACAATGAAGAATTTCCAAGACAGCCCCCACAGTTCTGCAAAAATTATACAGTGACCCAAATGACAAGGTCCGTTCTTTCCCTGTGTGTGAGGGCATTATTCTGGAACCAGTCCTGCAGTGTTTCTCTTTCTTTAAAAGCATGCCACCAACTTGAACCAATTCCATATAACTGAAGTTAAAAAATAAAAAACATAAAAGCAAGTGACCATTGACACTTGCTGGGATGTAGTGAAGTGGAGAGGGAAAGGACTTCATTAAGTCAGACAGACCTGGGTTTGTGGTATTGTGTATGTGACCTTGGGTATGTTATTGACATCTCAGAGCCACAATTTCCCCATCTTTTTAAAAATG